GTAAAACATTGGGGTCATCTGTTAGAAAAATCCAAGAAAGACTGTGCTGACTTGAGGTCTGTCATTTTTTGAAAGGATTTTGGGGGGAGATTGAAGATTTTAAAAATCTTTTCCTCCGCTGCAAACTGTATAGATTGATCAACCTCTATAAATTAACCATACTTTAGAAAGTGCACTTTCTCCTATAAGCCAAGCACTTTCCTCAGTGCCTCATTGCACACTCCATTGGAGTTAGAATTGCCTAATCGAAGTGGCCGTACCATAACTAGGCTTATATTTCCCATTCACAAAATGTGTGACAATGTCTCTGGTTCCTCCTGACAGAGAGGGCATGTCTCTGCTCTGTCCTTCTTCTTTAGGTGATGGTTAAAAGGGCAGTGGTCCATGCAGACCTATTATTTTCCTCAATTCCTGTCTGCTGAGAGAGAGGAGTTCCTTCACCTTCCTTTGTTGAGTGATTTTAGCTCGCCTCGTACCTAGGGCTTTTGTCTAGTGCTTGAGTTTTGCTTTCTCAAGCCATTTTGCCAATTCTAACTTAAGAACATACTCTGCTGCACCTATATGTGGTTATGGTCCCAAGGGTGAGAGGGTGCCATTTAATATTGGCTAGTTGGTAGCCTGTTGTTTCCTTCTATACCTTCCTGACCTGGAACTCACCTCAAGATGAACTTGTTTCTGCTAGGGTAATTAAGCAAATTAGGCACTCCCTTATTGGTCATTAAAAAACCTTTAGTTGCAGCCAGGAAACAGTATAGCCAATTTGGTAAGGCACCATGTAAAGTGTGTAGATTTGTGGGAAAATGTGTACTTTTCACAGAATAATCATAATAGAACTGGTTACAGTGGAGAAAAGGTCGGAATTCTTATTTGACCCTCCCGCCAAAAACAAAGATAAGAAAAATAAATAAAACTTTGGGGTCATCAGTGAGAAAATCCAGTTAGGATGAGGCTGTCTTGAAGTCTGCAGTAGTTGGATTACTTTGAATCGTTTTGATTTTCCTATCTGTACTGTTTTGGTCTGTTATGCCATCTTCGTGGTGGGTATTAAGAGTTTTTATTCTGGCCCATTTGTGAACAACACTAGCCATAACAAACCAGTGAGGTTAGGCAGACCAAAATGCATCCTTAAGGTGTAAAGGAAACAACTTCAGATTGCTAGACCCTTTATTTATTTTTCAAATATTTAATATGTGATCAAATACATAAGTATTAACATTTTACAATAAAAATGGAGGCATAGTGTATACATCACATTACAACTTATTCTGCACATTGCACATTTAAACTATCGTAGAAAAGATTCGTTCCTTAAATTGTTTAAGAATGAAGAAACAAATGTTTTATTAAATTCATGATTCGTTGAGCAAAATTCTCGAGATTGCCCAAAAACCTGTTAGTCCTTTGAGTAAGCTATGTCAGCGGTTTGTTTCAGTCTCAATTTTCATTTATGGCGGTGGTAGATGCGCATAATTATCCACCGTTTATTTACGCTCGGCACAATTAGATCAATTAAACACATGAGCTTCATTCCCCCCTGGATAGGCCCACATATGGCAGTGAGGATTTGGCTAATTCGTTGAAAAAGAAATTTTTCAAAATTTTCAACTCACGCACACTTTTTCCCAAAATTAATTTGCCCTTTTAAGATCTTTTTTTTTTTTTTCTTAAAATACTGAATATTATAAAAGCTCTGGTTTTGGTTTTTTAAATTGAATTTTGAGCAACAAAAGGGGGAAATGGGAACAAAACTGTTTGTCATGCCTCCATTGTTTGTTTAAAGACTTCAAAACTGTATTATTTACAAGCTACCTTACTATAGCTATTAATTTCTTCTTTGGTTCCCTTTCTTTTTATTATACATGCAATCTTTATAGAAAATATTACATTTAAGATAGAAATAACCAGGTAATTATACCTGGAGATGTATAAAGAGAAAAGTGCGCAGTCAGATGCTTAAATTTATTCACAGCATCATGGGATTTGAGAAGAGAACCAGTATACTAAATAATATTAAAATTACACTTGTTTTTATTTTATATATCTATATATGTATAAGCACACACAATATTTGTTTAATATATTTGACCAGTGATTCCCAAACAGTGTTTCAGGGGAAAAAATTTTCCATAAAAATATCAGGTAAAATTAAAAATCAGGAGTTTAGATTATTTAGTAAATAAAATTGTACGCAACATAAGTGGTACATCAATGCTTTTCTGAATTGCTTTTCTGAATGAAGGAAAAGCTACTGTAAACATAAAGATCACGATATCTGAATAACTATCGATTAACGGTCACTAATCTCTACACATGTAAACATAAAGTGCGCCCCTGAGATAGACCAATGTTTTGACGGAGTGCCACAGAAAAATTCTGATTAAGGGTGCCAGAAACTGAAAAAGTTTGGGAACCGCTGTATTACTCTAAACAATGTTAATTAATTGCAATACAACATATCTGAATAAAGTTTAACATTGCGTGTGAGCTAATTGAAAACAAAACCTACACTTAACACATATAAAAAAGAAAATAAAATGAATTATTAAAACAGTTAAAATTAAGGAAATATTTTTCTTTTGAGTAAAAACATATATACAGTTTATACGTTTATGTTAATTTATTATATATAAATCTATCTTATGTGACAAGAAATAATAATTCTAGAACTATCAGCCTTATTAATTAGCCAAGATAAATAATGAAAAACAGTTAAACATAAAATGTCTTACTTTGTTAGGATTAGTTTTAAATTATTTTCAGTCGTTTATTTTAATATATTTCAGTGTTTTTATTCTTAATTTAATTACTTAGTTTATACAATTATAAATCCAATGTGCTTATTGTTCTATTTATAAGAAACATCAATTTGTATCAGTATTATGATATGAATTACGCAATTTACAAACTGAAAATGTAATAATCAATATAAATTTTTTTGTATAATAAATCTAATGGTTAATTTTTTTAATATTGATTAAAAGTTAATATACATAATTCAATATATCATGCTAATTGACCCATGAAATTTATTCCATGCTATAAAAATTAATTTATTACTTTTGAGAGGGAACGTGATTGCTTTGAAATACACTCTCCTTCGAAAATATCACAAGCACTTATAAAATACCATTTTAAATGTGAAAAAGTATATGTTCATATTTTTTCTTTGTTTTTGGTAAGGAGTAGAATTTAATTTAAGTTTAAATTACAAATACATAACCTGGTCTTTTCTAGCCTAACCTAACCCAGATAATGTGAAATCGATTATAAAATTTGTGTATCTATGTTAAAATATTATTTATTTTATTTTTTTTAAATTAAAGTAAAATAACTTGTAATTCAGGAGGACATAAAAGTCCAAGTATTGGTGGTATTGCAGACATGGGGTCAGCAACTGCTTTCCATTTTTATTTGTTTATTTTTTCAAATTATTCTCAAATAAAAGTACAAAGGCAATGCCTGGATTCTTCTGGGAAAATGTATGTTCATTTTTTGATTTGTTTTTGATAAAACAGTAGAATTTGTTTGTTTTAATTAAAAAGACCTAACCTAGTCGTATCTAACCTAACCAAACCCAACCATGGCTCACTTCCAGTTACCCCAAAATTTGTATATCCATGATTTATTTATTTTTTATTTTATTTATTTGTTTTTTTAAATTAGAGTAAGTAAAGTAATTTCTATCATACAGGAGAGCTTAAAGTTCCATACCTATTGTGTATTGCAGACTAGTTAGGCACTACTTTTGGGATTAAAAAAACTAAATTTTGTATTTCTGTAAAACCATAACTTACAAAAAACTCAGGGTTTTGCAATAGTTTTGATGGAGAGTGTATATTCAAGTGAATGTTATGGTTTACCCTATTTATTTATCAATACAACTAATTTCATTAAGTTTACTATTTTAAAAATGTAAAGAATGCTAATTTTTTTCTTTAATTTATACAAAAAATTGCCTATAAATGTATATAAATAGATTTTTTACAACCCTTTTAAGTTTTTCTTTTTCTTTTTCTGAATAGAAATTATGCAGGATTTTATTATACCGTCAGTTATTTAAACGAGTCCAAGGGTGCTTAATTAGTGGAAGACGGTGAGACAGCTCTTTTAGATTGTATTTTTTTTCCTTTCCCTCTATTTTAAACTGTTTTGAGAAAGTATGAGCCATTCTTTTAAACCAAAAAATTACACAACGCTTTAGATTATGCTGTGTGATATATTTTTTATGTACAGAAATAGTTACCTTTCCTGAGAAAGAAACAAAGTTTGTACATTGAATTTTACATTAATGAAACATTTTTAAATGTAATGAATTCAGTATACAATATGTTTTTGATAAAGAGTAAAATGTAAGTTTTAATTACAAATACCTAACCTAACCATTTCTAACCTAGTCAACCCAACCTAACCTAACTCAATCATGTAAACTAAGTGACAAAATTTGTGTATGATGTTAAAATTTAGTTGTTTTTTAATTAAAATGAATAAAGTAATTCCTGTTGTATAGAAGGGCTTAACATTAGAAACAACTTTACAATTAATTTTTTTAATCGAACCTCAAAACATCTGGCTTGAAAAATACAAGTTGGACGGCCAATTAATTTTTATTAACAATAATCCTTAACTCTTAATCTCACAAGTTGCTATGTGTACCAAACTATGTATGGTGGTAAAAGAGCATCCTGGGCCACAGGCTTACTAACTTTTAACAAATGACAAGCCTGCAAGAAACAGAAGTAGAAGCTTGAGAAATGTTGTGATGTTGAAATACTGCCTTTGAAATACTCTTGAGAGTCCGACTAGCGCAAAACCAATATCCCATAGGCAACGCACAGATATACCTGTGGCTTTGAGGGTTCACATGTTGTTTGATTTCATTACTATTTAAAAGTTTGGATTTTTTATTTAAATGTGTACATTTAAAAAAATCAAAAAGTTTGAAAACTATCACACAGCTATATTAAAATAAAAGAAGGTTGAAAAAAATCTCTGCTCACTTATAAACTCCTGACAACATCGTTTTATTAGAAACATTAATTATCACAAATGCTTTACAATTAGCTTTCTTTAGTTTGTTTAAATATTTGTTTACCAACCTGATTTAATTTGACTTTAGTGAAGTTATGAAATTAAAAATGGTATGAGTGAAACATGACATAAATAACACACAAAAAGCATAATGCAGTTAAATTTTTTCATTCTTTCCTTTCTTGAAGTTATAAAAGAAAAAGAAATAATAATATATAAGATTTTTATTTAAATCCATTTCCTAGCCATTTTCTCTTGCTCTTTAACTGCAACCTTAACAAATAATAAATTAAATTAACAAATTTTACATGGTCTGTTGCTCTGGATGCACACCCCGCTCGTTGTGACAAGAAAGACGAGATCATAGAGGGTAGGCAGTTGGTGAGCATCTGCGAGCAGCTGTTGGAAATGGATCTGATCTCCTCATTGAGCTAGTGTCCCTTTTTTCTTCTCCTGAATGCCTCCGGATTGGCGGTGGTAGATCTTAAGCAGGTCCATCGCATCCTGCGCCTGCCTCTTCTCACTCAGGAATCTCCCACTAGCTTCTTTCAACTGGTCAAGGAACACCCTGGGCAAACAGAAATCTTATTTATTGATTTTATAAAGGAGGAAAACTTTGATAATGGTTAAATAATAGTGACCCGGTATTATTCTTATCTCTCCAAGTTTTAGCCTCGATATTGTAAAAATTTAAAATTGCCTCTTAAATTTGAGATTTCATCGATCATTTTGGCCTGCCTATTTTGGATTGGGGTCTCAGATGCTGAAACAAGGCTTACAGACCAAACCAGCACAGGAACACCAAAATGATCGATAATGACCAAAATTACAAACTTAAATGATAATTAATCTTGACCAAATAGGACATGATTTTCTGACACGATGAAAAACTTCAATGTGTGGAACTGAACTTCAAAAGAAGACTAGGCTATTATTTTATTATTATTTTTTATGTAAAGTGTGGTTGAGATCAAAAATTTGTATAACTTACAGGACTTGAACATACAATCTCCTGGCCTATACCCTTGAGGACCAGTCATTACAATAGCTCGAGGGGTTAGAGTGCGGGGTATAGGCTGTGAGGTTGTGGGTTCGAGTCCCGCTTGTGACACTAATTTTTAATCTGAACCGCACTTTACATAAAAATTACAAATCAATTTAAATAATTAATTTAGTAACCAGGACGACTAAAACATAGTTGTTATAAAAGCTTGATCATGTCTGATCTACCTGTCAGTCTGTTGTTATTAAAGCATCTCAAAATTGTCGATAAAGTGATAAAAATTGAGAAGTTGAACGTTCCTGACAATTTAGACGAGGATAATCAGATACGATCAGGCAATAGAGAAAAATCTGAAATTTCAAAATGTTTCACGACAAAACCATTTTTTCCTGGACTGCCTGTTCTCGTTATCTGTCAATGGGGGGATCTGTTTTTGTTACTTTAGAGTACTTTAGTTCTATCATATGGTTTAGCCAATAATTTTTTTTTTCATGATTATCGGGTCAAATGATGAAAAATGCCAAAATTCTGACAAGCAGGATCAACATGAACAGAGACAATAACAATTGTTTAAATTCAACAATAATTACAATTAATTAAGGTTTTTAGTTGAGATAAAAAAGTCAATGGCACGAGCGGGATTCGAACCCACGATCTTCGGCTTGATACGCCGCTGCTCTACCACTTGAGCTATCGTGACCTCGATCCACTCGGGCACCAACTTCCTATCTCAACCCCACCTTTTGAGTTTTCCCTCCTTTTTGCCATTTTTCAATTTTCGAATCCCGCTCGTGCCATTGACTTTTTATCTCAACTAAAAACCTTAATTAATTATAATATATTAATTGGTCAAGCGGACCACGAAATTAGTGAATTTAATGAATTAAAATGAAGTATACTTCACTAATGCTCTCCGTGGCCATTTCATTCATCAACGAAAATCCAATCCGATTACATGACATTTGAAAAATGGCAAAAAGGAGGGAAAATTCAAAAGGTGGGGTTGAGATGGCTCACGATAGCTCAAGTGGTACAGCAGCGGCTATCAAACCGAAGATCGTGGTTTCGAATCCCGCTCGTGCCATTCTTTTTTATCACAACTAAAAACCTTAATTAATTGTAATATATTAATTGGTCAAGCGGACCACGAAATTAGTGAATTTAACAATAATGTCATATTTTCCACTATAGGGTTAAGAAAAATTTCATTTATTCATTTTTTAATGAAGCACTCCTTTTAAACAATAGAGAGAAAAGAATATAAATATAAAAACTTATATTTATAAATTTAACATTAATTATATTCTAATGTGAAGTAAACTTAAGAAATACATAACTCAAAAGATAAATCTACTTTGAAAGAAAAAACAAAAACAAAAAACAAGTTCATAAAAAAAAGTATTATTTCATATTGGCATACATTAAACAAACATCAATCGGATTTATTTGCAAGAAGTTTCCATTTTTCTTTTTATTACAGTGGAATATACAAATGTATGCAGAAAAAACACCAGTGTTACATGCTTGGTATGCGTAGGTGTTTTTGCCATTTCGAATCTCAATTCAGGGTTTAAACATTAAAAGTGCCTAATAATTTGATAAACAGTCAAATGGCATGGATATAAAAATATAGTCGGGACATAACAGAAAAAACAACGCACTAATAACAGGCACTAATATCATCGCATTCTTTATACACTCAAAGACAAAGAAAAACCAGACACTTGGCCCAAAATTTTGTTGCTCACTTCAAACTATATGTGTTTTTATTGTGATATTAATTACAACGTACTTATTTTAATAAAAATCAAATTAAACGAGATCAGATATTCATCAGTTTTAATAAAAATTACTTAATTATGATGGTTTTAAAAGAAAATTCAACAAAACACAGGGAAATCAGTGGTAGATTAAAATTTAACTAAAAATTTATTACATATTTTTGCTCTTACTAACACATATATCTCATCTGGTCTCGCGGAGGGCTTTAAGCCTCCTAAGCATCGAGTAAATAAGTGATCGGATTTTGTCTTATGAAACAGAATCCCATTTTTCTACAAAAAGCACACTTGTAGGAGGCAGCGAACAATGTTGAACCCATTTTTTTTTTTTTTTTTTTTTTTTGACGAGCTTCTGATGTTTAGGTCATTTCAGCCCCCAACTAAGTCTATATTCTATTTACCCTTTCAAACACTTCATTCACACAAATAAATACATTCATACACATAAATACATCCATACAGTACACTCATTCCGTTTGGTCGGTGGAGTACTTGATATTCCTCCACCGACCAATACTCAAATTAATCTAGGTTGGGGTCGATAATTTTATAAATATTCGCCATCGATCCCGAACACACACTCTTACGCGCTCATCGTTCGAGGAGTGATGATGACGTTATATTTCACCCTCACCCCTCGCCATTCACGCTAATAAATACATGCACTCAGACAAAACATATAGACACACAACACATGAATATATTATATACAATAAAAAATCCCAATTTCCCCTAAAAAGCGGAACCGGGGTACCCAGAAACCCGCTGCAGTGCTCGAGCACCATTTTCAGATTGGATGGCATGCCTACACGCTCCCTGTAGGGAGCCAAGGCATGACATGTTTCCAATATGTGGGACACATCGAGCAACCTTTCTCTGCATAAGGGGCACCTGCATGGGCTTTGGCCCAAGAGCAGGTGCCCGTGTGTCAACCGTGTATGGCCTATTCTTAATCCCGTAAGGATGATTCTGTGTTTCCGGCTCAGGTTCTCGGAGGGCCATCTACAAATCGTGCTCTTGACCCGCCTCTCAGACGACCTGGCCCATCTCTTATTATCCTGTTAGTGTTCTATGGGATTCATGTCAGGAAATTCTCGTAATCCCTAGCTTGAAATAATGGGTGAGAACTTGAACTACATGCGGTTGAGCATTATTATGCATTAACCAAATGTTGACCTTAATAAATGGAGCAAATGAGACAACAGCTTCCAGAACTTCCTCAGGGTACCTAAGTGTACTCAAGATCGTATTGCATCATAATCAGTTTGGCATCTGATTGTCACAACCAAAATCGGCACTCATCTGTGAAGAGACCATTGTTGAAGGGTCCAAGGGAGATGCCGATTTGCAAAGCCGCCTTTTTACTTGATTCCTTTCCATGTAGGATGTCTAGGGACTAGGCTACTCTCACAAAGCCTTCTGATGACTGTTTCAGAGTTCACCCTTACATTACGGGTCATTAGGAGTTTACTACCTATCGTATAAGATCATATATAAGATGGTTCCTTAGTGCAGTAAGAGCAATCAAACAATCGTCTTTATCCGTCGTACATCGTGGTCGACCAATACCTATTCCTCGATCGAGGCTTACAGTGGCCCTAAACCACTGAAGATCATCATGGATGGTAGAGCCCAGCACACCCAGGACTTGGGCTATGTAACACAGGCTATATCTGCTGTTGGTCCAGGCAAAATCTTCTCGACTTAAATCTGTGCTTTGGTTTAACGTCATAAACCAAAAAAAAAAGTTTTGTCAAAGACAACAGTTTCAAAAACCAATTAACTCACTCGAAAAGTTGGCTCTGGAAAGGATGAAATTGAAATAATTTTCTTTATTTTTAATCCAAAGAGTGTAAAAGGATTAATAGCACTATAAATATAAATAACATTAAATCAACTATTAATCTTTATATCTAATTATTATGGAAAGTAAGTCAAGTATCTGGTTTTTTGCCTTTGGGTGTATTTTAAATCATGGGGGAAATGAGAAAAAAGTCGACAAAGCAAACGTGATATTTCGTACGGCATATTGACTGATTCATCACCATAACAGATGAAAGAAGACACAAAATGAAAATTTAAGACGATCAGTGGTTTCAAAGTGTGGGAAACATTCGACTTACCCATACACAACAGTCGTCAAAATTTAACTAGGAAAATAACATGTATGGGATTACTACACACAAAATCAAAAGAATTAATTTGATTTTCTTAAGTCACTCACATCTGAGATTTTGTTTTTTTAACGCATTTTATGGAGTAGTAGAAAATTAAAGGAATCTTGTCTTTTTAAGTTTTGGAACAAAATATATGTTTGGGTTTTTTTTCCGGTTGTGTTGGATTCCATTTTTATTGACTGTCTGTCAAGGAGTCAGCCAGGGAAATTTTTTAAATTTATTTTTTATATTGTATATTTAATAATTTTATAGTAGGGAAATAAAATGGCAAATATGTATATGTATAAAAAACATTTTTCTTTCCTGGCTGACTCCCTGAATAACAATCAACAAAAAATATATATATTTATTGTTTTGATCTCAATTAAATAAGAAATATTAAATTAAGAACTTCGCCATGTTAATTTTTGGAAGTCCATTAAAAGTTACTTTATCCAATAAAAATGAAGTATTTTACTAAAAACTATTGTAATAACTAAAACATTTTATCCCGATCATTGGATTGTTGAGTATAAGTATATTTCTTTTAAACTCGAGGTTAAAAACGAATGTTTCGCAGTTAAAGACTTACTCAGGGAAAAGGGATTTATTTGGTATATAACAAAAGTTTCGTTTTTGTCGACAAAACCCAGCTTAGGGACGCCTGTTGGTGATATCTTTTCAACTTTTCCATCCGTTCCGCTGCAGGATTTTTCACCAAGGTTTGATGACTCCGCGAAACTTTGCCTTTCCGAAGGCCACCCTTAGGCGAGATTTTATTTAGGTCTGAAAGGCTAATCGATCTGAAATAATCCAAAAATTTTAACTCATCGATGAAAACAAACAAGATTCCATTCGATTTCAATTTGATCTCAAAACTCTCAGATCTGAGTTTTTCTTTTTCAAAAAGATTACAAAAAAGATCCCCTTAACCACTTCATCTTAAAATATTAAAAAAAAAAAAAAAAAAAAATATATAAAATAATTTTTTAAAATGTATTTTGTGTTACCTGTCCGAGACGATGTCCTTGAGACTGTCAGGGTCCATGTCCGACAGCAATTCGAGCTCATAGCCTCCAAGTAGCGATACCTGGCCGATGTCCGATTGGAGCCGTTGCAGTAGACCCTGTATACCTCTGCCTCCGTCAGTCTGGTCGCAACTACTTTCTCCCTTTCTGTACATAACAAACGTCAATTATAAAGAATGAAAAAGAAATTGGTTCAAAATTGGAGAAAAATCCATTTAGAGTTGAAATAAGATTTTCGTTTGAAGGGGTTTTTTTTTCAAGAAAGAGAAATAATCCATTCTATTCTAATGTTGATTGATGCCTTGAAATATCCAACAGGGCCAGATAATATACTTCCTTCGACTGAAGCAAAAAAGAGCAAAGTGTACAGAAGACAGTAAATATCAAGACGAGAAATAATTTAACACAGGAAATAAAATTTAATATTTAATTGAATTTTATTCACAATTTTTATAATCTAAAGTACTCTTACTTCACATTAGGTAGTTTTAAGACTATTTTGTGGATTTTTTAAACGAACAGAGCACCTCTTTCTCTTTCTGAACGGATTCAACACAGAAATAAATAAAAACTTGGCAAAATTGAAAAGTTCAGAGATGAATCATATAAAAACACACTTGATCTAAGAATCAAAACCAAAAATATCCAATAGGAAGAGATTTTAAAGGGATAAAAGCCTGGATACCCACTACGCATGAGCCAAAACTATAAATTGAAACAAAGCAGTGTGCCGAAAAAGAAGAAAAATGTCGTGGTAACAAATAAGTGAAAACTAGGCGTGCTTTTTGAGCATGTCAAGAAATAAGCGAGCAAAGGCAGGAAAATAAAATATATCGCCTACATCAATTTATTCTCAGTTTTATTTTTGGTCACTTTTTTCTCTTTCTCTCTGGTTTTTTTTTTTTTTTTAATACTTACGGCGACAGCGTGGGTCTCGTCTCGTGGGCACAGGGTGGTAAAACAGTGCAGATCTGAGCGAGGAGAATTCAAACATCATACACGGGACCACCCTTGGAATAGAGATAATAGGAAAAGATGGAGAGACAGTCACAACGATATAATTTTGTGAGAAACAAAACAAAACAAAACAAAAATTGGAAAAAGACAAGTTTTATTTTCTTTCGGGATGGGAATGTGTACGTTAAAAGACACAGCCAAAGGAACGAAAAAAACATTTAACGTGCAAATATATTTATTTGAGGAGAGAATTGCTCGTATTACTTACAGTGTACTTTTAATAACCTCACTGCTGCATTAATCAATTCTACCAGTTAACAAAAAAACAAAAAAAATCTTTTCTGCAATATAATCACTTTTTTAATTAAAAATTAAAAAAACGGTTTATTATAATTAATAAAATAAGGTAGACTTTATTTCAACCATGACCCTCCTCTATTTATTTTATCTACAAAATTAAGAAAAAATATATTTAAAGTTATTAATTTCATTAATTTACCAATTATGCAAGAATTTCTTTATGAAAGTTTTTCTCTATATGAGTGTGTTTCATAATTTTTAATTTATTCCCTCATTAAATTATAGGCCACCATTTATTGTTTTTACTATGTTGTATAGTCTGCCTAAGATCTTTGTAATTATTAGGTTTAGAATTTTTGTGCTTATAGGTTTGTCAAATGGTTTTTCTCCCTAGGCACTTAAACTTTTGTCTATTATATACAAACTACTACAAATTTTATTGGAAGGTTTAGATTTCTTTAGGTCTTCTTCAAGGTTGCACAAGAATTTCTTTCCTAGGCACTGTTGCCTTTTCCATTTGCAAAGGATGTGTTTTTTCTCTGTTTCCTCATGTCGCAGTGGTCATCCTTTTTAGAAAGATAGTTCCTACTCACAGTAAGTTGTTTTGCAACGATACGGATTTCGAGCCTTTTATCTCATCATCAGGTTGAAGGACTTCTACAACCATGTCTCTCGACATGAATCGCCAAAGTGAACCGCTGATACCTCCGCCAACGCGACGTTCCAATTAGCAGCTGATTTTTTAATGGCGTTCAATTTTGAACGTGCGAAACGCGGAAATTATAACAAATAAATATTATACTAGTAAATACTTAATATTACTATAAAGTACTATAAAAATAATAACAATTAAAATAATTAGTTTAATTATTTGGGTGTTTGATATTATTTATGTACATATTGAAAATGGGAGGTAGATCAAAATCTGTTATATTATTAATGCATTTATCACCATGTTCAATTTTACATTTTGTAATTTCAAATTTCTCAAACTAATCTAATTCTTTCCCTTTGTTGAAACTATGTAACACTCTTGTATTTAAAGTTGAATTGAAATTGTTTTGTTTCTTTTAGATGATCCTTAAATTCCGAAAATTTGCTCGATTTAGGTAAGTGTTCTTTTACTCTTGTTTTTATTTCTCTACCGCTTTGTCCTATATATTTAATATCACAATCATTACAATTGAGTTGGTAACCCCGTTTTTTGCCAAGTTGTCTACTTTGTCTTTAGGTTTTGAGAGGATGTTTTTAAGCGAACCCGTACTTCAAAAAGCTATTCTAAAACCTTGTTTAAAAATTTTACTAACTTTTTCCGATAATTCACCAATGTATGGCAAACAACGGAAACCTAATGATTTATTTGTGATGGGGTGGCTGAGTCCTATTGTCGATTCGTTTAAAGTTAATTTTTTTATTCTTTTAACTAGCAACTATCAATAAATATTTCTTGATACCCATTGTTTTTTGCTAAGGTTTTAATAGTTTTTAATTCTTTTTTATAGTTATCAGGTTTTAGCGGAAGTTTTAACATCCGGTCTATGAGCCAAATGAAACCAGCAGCCTTTTGGGACCATGGGTGGGAAGAACAGTGGTCATCTGTCGATTTCCATTTTTTTTCTTTTTTTTAAGTGGTATTTTACTGAAGTCCTTAGTCCATTTTTGTTGAAGAAGTTTTTCTCGTATTTTCCGCACTAGCACAAATTTTGGCTTTAGCTCTTGGCGTTTTAATTGAAAATAATTTGAAAAAAATATTGTAAAATTACCCCTAATTGGAGTTAAGCCCTTCTGCATGACAGTCTGGCTTTTTCAGACGAACAGGACAAAGTTTGAGGCAACATAGAAAATTTCTTTACAATAATTAAGGTAAACCACTACAAGAAAACTTTCTCGAGCAGTATGCCCAACAGAAGCAGTACAATTCAACTGAGGAATACAATAGCATTACCATAGAAAAGTGACAAAGTTTTAAAAAATATTAAATGTTAAAACAGTCAAAAAATATTAGATAAATGGGTATCTACTACTATCAATTTTTGTTTGTGAAAAAATTAGGATGGCTTATAATTTTGTCAGGGAGAGTGATATAAGTACTCTGCAAAACATTAGTGATTGTATGATTTTCATATTTTTGCATAAGATGAATAATTGAAAACAAAGAAACAGAACAAAAAAATACTTCGCCAGCTTGAGTTTGTGTTTTATCACTGGATTAAGCTATTATCGCATATGATTTAATTTAATATTATAAAGTGAAAATTGTAACACACCTTCTGCATCCCCTATAATTAAGATTTACGTCATTACCCTTAAAATCAAATGAGACAAACCAGGCTTTTAAAAGAGAAGCAAAAGCAAGTAAAGCTTGTTAGCTACTTTTTAATCGAATAGACTTAAGCTTTTATGTTGTCGAATTGAATAGCTAGGAGATCGAAAGGATAGGCAGAAAAAGTGTCTTGTTTTATTTATTTTAATACTTCGTTTTAAAGAAGAGAATTTGTATCGATAGAAATGAGATAGTCACCTTCGTCCTGGAGGGGCCCAACTCTGATCTTGCATGAGAACCATGAGGCTTGTGTTCTTTTCGAGGGTCGTGAAATAGTCTTCCTCGTCGACCTCGGTTCCATCCTGCTCGAGGACAACTTTGACGGACCCGGCCAATCCCAGCTTCTCCACGGCTAAAAAACAGAAAATTTGATCTTAATAACTTACTTAGTTTCTTGTTTACTATGTGGTGTAGAAACATTGTCCATGATGAACGTGGCAAGAAGCCGAAACACAATTAAAAGATCAAAATGGAGAAAAAACATTTAGCACACAGGATATGTTAATTTATCCAGTTTATAATTAAATAAGTTTTAGACCAAAACAGTGATAAGCAGGCCAAAAGTCAAAAAAGATTATCAGAAATGCCCAAACTCTTGATTTAATCAGCAGAGTTCAACAAGAAAAAAAAAACTGCATTATTTTTCCTTCACAAAACTATTGCTTTAGATTATAAAATAATATGTAATAAAAAATATTAATAAAAACACATAAAATAATATCTATCTTATGAGAACTTAAAAACCAGAAGACAGATTGATTTCACGAAAATTTGTCCCTTATTCAACCATTTGGCTTTTGGACCTTTTGGCAGACTTTTATTTAATGCTGAGGAAGCAATTTAGGCTATAAAAAGTACTTTGCCACAGCCTTTGGCATGTTGAGATGAGTCGGACTTCAAAGAAATTTGAAATCTATTAAAAACTTAATTATGTCAATTTGTATTCATATTTGATTGTTTTGCCCTGATGATGGCCTTAAAATAGGTCAAAAGCTAAACAGTAACTATTGAATTTGCTTTTTCATCAAGACCACACTGCGGATCCAGATTATTCATGATTTTTTTTTTTTTTTACTAAGCAAATAATTAGGGGAGCTTTTTTGTAATAAGTAAGCATAACTGATTCAGTTTTGCCCCTAGGGCGCAGATATAATTATATAAATGGTTGAGAAGAAATAACATTGAAATACTGACAAGCAGTTAAAAAAAATAAAATAAAATAAAGTAAAATGAATAAATACAAAATGAAGCAATTAAAACAGAAGTAAAAGAAAAGTCAATTACCCTTAATAAAAAACCAGATTCTTTTATTTATGGATGAATGCAAACTGCAAACAAACCATGAAAAAAGCCAGGTTTATTCATTTTTGAAGCAATGAAGAAAGCAAGGCAGTTAATTTTATAGAAAAAATATCTTTCTTGATGTATGTATCATACATGTAAATAGTTTAGTAGAAATTATATTGATGAGAAAAATAAACAGAAAGAAAAAAACAAAGAAAAGCTAATATATATATAGTTTTTTTTTTTTTTTAAGCAATTCAGACAGTAGTAAAAGAAAATTCAATATAGCTTTAACAGAAGGCCAGGTACACTAGTAAGCTAAATAAGTTGTATAGTAAAGAAAAGAAAAGAAAAAAAGGCTTATTTTAAGTAGTAAAATACAATTCAATATTTCTTTAATACAAAATTATTAAGTAACTGTTAGTTTATACAAAATTAGCAAACAAGTAAGTTGATTGTATACCACATGCATTATTATGAGGACTTATAAAAAAAAGCAGGCATGAGAATTACTTTTATTCCACAGTAACCGGAAAAGAATTGTTTAAGAGATCATCTTCAGGGCTTTATAAACATAAACAACATTGTTTAAATTTTACAAATACATGTAGGATGTGAAAAAAAACATCAATATCTCATTGGCACTCTCAACACCCCAGACAAGAATGACATCTACACGTAAAACGAACACTTTGATAAACAAATACTTTCATTGAATCTAAAATTTTATAGCATTGTATGAATTCATTTTTTTTTCAAATTTTCTCGCATTGCATAAATTTATTTATTTCTTTTAATCTAACATTTCCTAGCTTTGTATAAATTCATTTTTTTCCACATCCTCCATGTATTTGTAAAATTTAAACAATGTTTATAAATCCAAGGCCCTGAAGATGATCTCAATAAAGATCGAAACGTTGGCACAATAAAGAAAATGTTTTTCTAAAACCTATGTCACACCAGACTGCATCTCACATCCTCCGAATAATAATAAGCTAGTATAATGATAACTTACAAAAAAGCACGCTTATTAATTATTTTAAAGGCAAAAATATAAAAGCAAAAACAAGAAAAAAATTCTTATGATTTGTATATGTATCTTAAAAATAGCTGAGTAGAAATATTATTGATACATTGACAAGCAAATTAAAAATAAAGAAAAAAGACAAATACAAAAAGTTATTAATTTTTTAAGCAATTAAGGCAGTATTAAAGGAAAAATTAATATCTGTTTTAAAGAGTCTAGGTACACAAGTAAGTTGATAGCTTACAAAAAAAAAAAAAAAAAAAAAAAACAAGCTTGTTATTTATTAAATGCAGATTAAGAAAAGCAAGCAAAAATAAGAAAAAAATCCATTCTCATATCTGTAAGTATCTTAAAAACAGCTATGTAGAAATGATATTGATATATTGAAAAGCAAAGTAAAAAATCAAAAAATCTTCTTTTTTTAAGCAATTAAGACAGGATTAAAAGAAAATTCTAACTCTTTAATAGAAACTGTGTAGACTAGTAAGTCATGTGACTTTAAAACAAAACAAGACGGTTGAAAAGTTAATTTTTTTTTAATTTCTCGGAAAGCAAAAAAAATACTTCTCATTTCCATAAATATCTTAAAAACAGCTACATAGAAATGATATTGATATATTGAAAAGCAAAGTAAAAAATCAAAAAAGCTTCTTTTTTAAGCAATTAAGACAGTATTAAAAGAAAATAATGGTTAATTGGCTAATTATTTTTTAATACTCGGAAAGCAACAAAAAATATTATTTCTTATTTCTATTATAAGTATCTTAAAAACAACTAAGTAGAAATGGTAGTAATGTATTGAATAACAAAGCAAAAAATTTAAAAAAGTTTATTTTTTTAAGCAGTTAAGACAGTATCAAAGGAAAAATTAATATCCGTTTTAAAGAGTCGGTACACAAGTAAGTTGATAACTTCGGAAAAGCATACTTGTTAATTATTTTAAACGCAGATCAAGCAAAGCAAGGAAAAATAAGAAAAAAATCCATTCTCATTTCTATATGTATTTTAAAAACAGCTAAGTAGAAATTGATCTATTGACGAGCAAATTAAAAATAAATAAAAATGACAAATAAAAGTACACATTTTTAAAGCAATTAAGACAGTATTTAAGTAAAATTCAATGTCTCTTTAATAGAAGACTAGGTACACTAGTGTCCTGAACACCATGTGCTTTAAGCTGTCATATTTATGTGAACTTGGAAAAAATCTGGCTTATTTTTAATGCAAAGCAAGGAAGCAAAAAATCCCTTTTCCTTTTTATACAAATCATAAAAATAACTGTGTAGAAATGACATTGTTACATTGACAAGCAAATTAGAAAAAAAAGATGTAAAAAAAATCCAGGCTTATATTTATTTAAAGAATTGGGACACTAAGGATGTTAATTTTTTAGAATTTTTTTCCTTTTGTTTGTAAATATGTGCAAATAGTTAAGTAGAAATATGACATATATTTTTTTTGTCTTTATAAAAACTAGTTTTTTTTATTACTCAGCATACAATTAAGATTTAAAATATAAATTAATTACATATCCTCCCTTATTTATATTTAAATTGTTAATAATATTTTATCAGAAAATAATTTAAAAAATGTTTTTGAAATTGATGCAGCACCGGCTGAAAGGCTCAAAAACAAGGGGTGGGTCGGGGGTGTTTTGGGAGGGAAAGGTCCGTCGAGGAGTTGCATCGATACAAAGTGGGGTGGAAATAAAAAATCAGCACGTTCGTTAGTAAGTTAGTGACAAGTGACAAGTGACATGTGACAGGCGACATGCGACACTCACCGCGGGCGACGAGGTTCTCCAATGAGTTTGCCACGACTCCGAACCGCTTCTCCCGGGTCGCGTCGACGATTTTATACGGCGTCATTTCGTCGGAGCCGAACGCCTCCAGTTCCTCGCCCATGGTCGCTCCGGAGTGAGCCCTCGGGAAGCGCCTCCGGCCCGTTTTATACGAGGCGGCAAGGGGTGGCGAAGGGTTGAAACAGCGGAATTGGGTCGGGGTGTGACCCAGTTACCTACACTGATCAATAACCGACTGGGCTACTGAACTGGCAGTTTTTATTTCGAATCGGGTCACGCCCTTATCCAGACGACCTAATTCGGGCTATCCTGTGACCCAGAAACCCTTTCCAACCCCGATTCAAGTTTTAATCCAGGAAGGAGGAAGAAACAAAATTAAAAACGGGCAGCTTTCCGTTACTTTAAAAAGAGCAAACTTGGTTACTAAGTACTACTACTAACTACAATCTGTTAACCTCTTCTCTTTTAGGCCTCTAGTGTTTCATGCTCAAACTAGGTCTCCGCAGACAGCGACATCTTCATCCTCAACACCAGCCCGCCAATAAATGAAATACCCAATGGCAAATCTCGTCTACAGCTTTATTGCCTATTACATTGGTAATAATTGGTAGTACAAGAACAAACAAAAGGGAAAACATACAGACGAACATTGAAGATCGACTAACGACTAAAGGCTTCTGACAGATTTCCAGATCGTCCTATCCCTAAAATAAAACCATTACCAAGTTATCACAATTTCATTAGAATTGATCTTCATGTTTCGCCAATTCTCCGAGGTTTTATCAAAGGACAAACAGAAAAGAGATGTATAAACTCCAAAAATAAATAGCCTTAGAAACCTAAAAAGACCAAAGAGAAATAACGGACCGAGCTCGCATAAATCGATGTCGGTACCTTGTCTTGACCTGTTTACCCTCATCAACTGACTTTGGTTAAGTTCAGAAACTTTGTTCAGATACAAAACTTGTTAGTTTTAAAAAGGACAAGCTAAAGAAATAACACGCAGACTATCGTTGAAGCTGGAAATTACCAAGTCATCTAATTTGATTAGGATTAAACCCCATGTTTCGCCAATTCTTACCGATATTTATCAAAGAACAAAACGAGGAAAACGTACAGACCCAAAACATAGAGATTATAACCTAAAAATGAAAAGCTGAAAAGCTGATTGCGCACCAAGGTCGCACATAAATTAATGTCAATGCCTTGCCACGGCCTGTTTATTTCCCCGATCTACCGAATATTGCAAAATTCAGAAATCTTTTTTTAGCATAAAAGTTGTTAGTTTTGAAAAGGACAAATTGAAGAAATAACACACAGATTAACGTTGAAGACGAAGAAACGTCGGAAGACGTCTGACAGACCAGTAAGAATATTCCATGCTCAAGATAAAAATGGATATGAATACCTGTGCTTTGTCTCTGCAGGTTATTTCCCCGATGTACCGTATATTTCAAAATTAAGAAACTTTTTTAGATTCAAAACTTGTGAGTTTTAAAAAAGACAAAATGGAAAGATTACTTAGCGAATTTTTGCATGAAGTTCTTTTCATATGGCGTGGTCCATAAGTTTTCCCCTTGTTCGTTCATCTTTGCTATTTTCATGTCAGACTGAGACATAGTGCCGCTGAGAAAACCTCTGTGCGTAATTTCCATGTTTTCTTTTTTTTAACACTTGCAGGATTCGTCTGACTGACACTTTGGAATTTCTGGTAGGTCATGATTATAAGCAGGGAGAGGAAAAGCACAAACTTTGGGGTAGTTCTGTGCGTTAACTCTTCGGTTGGTCCCTTTTTAGCAACACACTTGTAGGCTTAGGCCGACAGAAACGTTGTTACATCACATCATCTTTAGTAGAAGCTCAGTCAGGGTTATAAGCAGGGAAAGGCAAGGCTTGTATTTCTATACTTTGTGGTAATTTTGAGTTAACCCTTTAGTTTGTCCATTTTTAACTCGCGTAGGTTTTGGGTCAGAAACGTTGTATTACATCACATCTTCTTTAGTAGACGCTCAGTCAGGGTTATAAGCAGGGAAAGGCAAGACCTATAGTTCTATACTTTTTTGGTTAACCCTTTGGTTTGTCCATTTTTAACTCTCGTAGGTTTTGGGTGACAGAAACGGTGTTTTACATTAGATGCTCTTTAGCGATAAGTCATTCAGGGTTATAAGCAGGGAAAGGCAAGGTCTGTATTTCTATATTCTGTGGTAATTTTGAGTTAACCTTTAGTTTGTCCAGTTTTAACTCGCGTAGGTTTTGGGTCAGAAACGTTGTATTACATCACATCCTCTTTAGTAGAAGCTCAGTCAGGGTATAAGCAGGGAGAGGCAAGGCCTATATTTCTATACTTTGTGGTAATTTTGAGTTAACCCTTTGGTTTGTCCATTTTTAACTCGCGTAGGTTTTGGGTCAGAAACGTTGTATTACATCACATCTTCTTTAGTAGACGCTCAGTCAGGGTTATAAGCAGGGAAAGGCAAGAACTATATTTCTATACTTTTTTGGTTAACCCTTTGGTTTGTCCGTTTTTAACTCTCGTACGTTTTGGGTGTCAGAAACGGTGCTTTACATTAGATGCACTTTAGCGATAAGTCAATCAGGGTTATAAGCAGGGAAATGCAAGACCTATATTTCTATACTTTGTGGTAATTTTGACTTTAACCTTTGGGTTTGGCTATTTTTAACGCTCGTAGGTTTTGGGTGTCAGAAACGGTGTTTTACATTAGATGCTTTTTAGCGATAAGTCAATCAGGATTATAAGCGGGGAAAGGCAAGGCTTGTATTTCTATACTTTGTGGTAATTTTGAGTTAACCCTTTGATTTGTCCATTTTTAACTCTCGTAGGTTTCGGGTGTCAGAAACGGTGTTTTACATTAGATGCTCTTTAGCGATAAGTAAATCAGGGTTATAAGTAGGGAAAGCAAGGCTTGTATTTCTATACTTTGTGATAATTTTGAGTTAACCCTTTAGTTTGTCCATTTTTAACTCTCGTAGGTTTTGGGTGTCAGAAACGGTGTTTTACATTACATGCTCTTTAGCGATAAGTCAATCAGGGTTATAAGCAGGGAAAGGCAAGACCTATATTTCTGTACTTTGTGGTAATTTTGGCTTTAACCTTTTGGTTTGGCTCGTAGGTTTTGGGTGTCAGAAACTGTGTTTTATATTACATGCTCTTTAGCGATAAGTCAATCAGGGTTATAAGTAGGGAAAGGCAAGGCCTATATTTCTATATTTTGTGGTAATTTTGAGTTAACCCTTTGGTTTGTCCATTTTTAACTCGCGTAGGTTTTGGCTCAGAAACATTTTTTTTACAATACACTCTTCAGTCGTACCTCAAGGTTTTAAGCAGGAAGAGTCAAGATGACATGTTACATTGGTTCGTTTTCTGTTTTATCACCTTTTTTTGTCGTTTTTCAAATCTTACTGGTTTAGACTTTCAGAAACATCTGGACGGTCATCATCAATGGTACTTCAAAGATCTAATAAAGAGAGGCAGAACACATTTAAACACAGATATATTTCATTTACATTATTCAAGTCTGTACATGTACAATGAAATGTTACAAAACAAAACAAGGGAGGAGGAGATTTTCGATATGACAGAAGAAGAACAAGGAAAAAATAGATATTTTATATTAATGCCGTTTGATCAAATTGTTTACCAACTATTTCTGACTGGTAAAAAAAGCCAACGGGTGAACAACATTCTTTGATTTGACTCCCAAGACAATTCGAAACGAAGCGGCTACATATGGTTATTTACAATTCATGAAGAATCCCCCCTGTTTTGTCAATTGTCAAGAATCCCCTGGAATGTCAAAGAAAATAAACTTACATGCCAATCCTTTTCAATTACATAATTAGTATGTAAATTATTTTCGATATATGCTTTCTTCATCTGGCTTTAGATTCTCCCATAACTGTTTGGATGTCAGATGATGAAGCTAATAAATAATTCACATGATGTATGAAGTACATAAATAAATGGCCTGGATGAAAAAACGCGTATAACAAAAACAATCGAACATGCCTATTAGCAAAGCTTACTTTTCCAATTTTGTAAGTAAGCCTTTCGATATATAAAATAATTGAAAAGAACTGAAGGTGGAAGAAAACTACTTCAACATTACTTTTACCCTCTGGTCACGTTGGGTATTCTATATAAGTACACAAGAATTCCAAACATGCTGAACTTGTGATAGCCGTTTTGCCTAAAAGAATTTTCCTTTATTTATTAGTTATTTTATTAATTTTAACGCAATATCCGTGGACTTATCAAAACTTAAGCATTTTCTCCTGGCCTTATAAATTTAACTGTAATTATGCCATCAAAGGATTTAGTCCAAGTAAAAGTATATACGTATATGTCCATATACAGGGTAGGTTTAAAATATTTACGAATAGAGACCCATACTAGCAAAATAAATGAGAAAACAAAGATTGTTTTTTATTTCATGTTATTCAAACTTATTCTGTTTACAAATTATAAAACTTGAGTAGAGGTAGAACAAGATTTAAAACTACGTAGGTAATTTGTAATATTCATACATTCTACTTGTCTCTTGTTTTACTTCAAAAATATTTTTAAAAAACCTTATCACTGTTTTTCCTTATACAATAGATTTGTTACAGTGTATAAATTAAAACTAAAAAATTTTACATGAATATTTATTAAAAATAATTTTCTATCTGATATACATTTGATTTTGACACTTCGATTTTTACTCCTGTTCACCTGTAACGATGTGAGAAAACAATAATCTTCTATTTGTCAATAATGAGTGTCAAATTTACTTACCAAAAGATATTTTCACGAGAAAATTTGAAATATGTTGTCGCTGGGCCCAATGAGCGGACATAAATTCCTCGGATCGTAAGGAACGATAACATACAATGCAAAATATATTGTATAAATTCACTTTTCCACATTCTAAATGTATTTGTTAAATGTACACAATGTTTGTAAATCCCAGGCCCTGAAGATGATCTCAATAAAGATCGAAACGTTGTCACGATAAAGAAAATGTTTTTCTGAAACCTACATCACACTAGACCGCATCTCACGATTTCTGAATAATTATCGATTAACGGTCACTAATCACCACACATTGAAATTAATAAATCACAAGGTAAAATTAAATGGATAATTATTCACCGGCCATTCTTTACCTACCGCCGGGCGGGCATCCTGGATAAGAAGGATGGACTCCTTCAAGACAAAAAATATTAAAGGACTAGGACTTTAAAAGTTATATCAACCGGTGATAAAACTGAGAAAAATGCAATGGTTAAATATTGAAATTAATTAAAAATTCCTAAGTTGAAATTAAATGGATAACAGCTCACCGGTCCTTCTTTACCTTCCATCAGCCGGACGACCATCCTTTATAAGGAAGAAGGACTCCTATAAGAAAAACAATTAGAGGACTAGTAGTCAACAGTAAGTTTATTTGATTCTTTGCTTACCAAATAAACCTTCTTGTCAATCCTTTCATAGTGCTTCGTCCTGGTAGTTGGATGATATACATTCCACTTGTCTGCTCATGTACAAAGATATCGAAAATTTTTAATGAAAACATTTTGTTTCTTTTGCATTCGTTTTTTCGTTTATTTTTTATTTGAATAGTAGGTTTTGTACAAATTGTCCAATTATCTCAAATTTTGCTCTTATACAATTTTTTAATTAATATATTATTTTATATGTATAATTTTATATATTTTTATTTATAACAGGTGGTTTCAGAAAAATGAAAAAAACACTTCTGTTTTAAATTTAAATAACCAATTTTTTCTGTTGTCATTACTACTACTTTATTCTTTAATATCCAGGGTGAGACATTTTTGGATGCACCATTGGAAAATCAACGCGGGTGCGTTTAAATCTGACTCAAGGCCTATTTCTTTTGATTTTAACATTAAAAAAAGGAAGTGAGTCAATTTTCGGCGCACCATAGGAAAATCAACGTTGGTGCGTCTAATTATGACTCGGCACATTTTATTTTGTTAGTCTCGTACCAAAAAATATGCTAGGCACTTTTGGACGCACCATTCGTTACAAATTAGTTTTAGTATGTTGGAAGGAAAATAAACAAAACCAATATTATTAAAACATTATTCAAACACAATGTAAAAATTTACAAAAAATCTTCACAAATTAATTTGATTAAGGTTTAAGAGTATTTTTTTCTGGTAAAGTAAAAAAAATTAAATAAATATAACAATCTTCTTTTTTCTGGTAAAGAAAAAAACAATAAATAAATGTAACAATCTCCTTTGTTAGCAAATCAAAAATGTTCAAAATCATTATAATAATTGTTCGAACAGACCTCCATCTGCTGCAACACAGTAGCCTAGTCTATCGTAAAACGATGATCGGACGAAAAAAAAAAACTTTTAAATCTTAATCAGATTAATTTGTGAAGAATTTTTTTAAAATTTTTACATTGTGTTTGAATAATGTTTTAATAATATTGGTTTTGTTTATTTTCCTTCCAACCTACTAAAACTAATTTGTAACGAATGGTGCGTCGAAAAGTGACTCGCATATTTTTTGGTACGAGACTAACAAAATAAAATGTGCCGAGTCATAATTAAACGCACCAACCGTGATTTTCCTATGGTGCGTCAAAAAATGACTCACCCTGTATAACTAAAATCTCTCTTCATAGTACTTACAAGTAATTATAATTAGTATTTACAAAAGGAACATATACTTTCTTCAAAAATGTCAGTAATGTAATAATAGATCATAATTATATAATAATATCTGAAACATGATTGTAAATATATACATCTCTTATTTATGATTACCTATAATGCACGTACTCAATAATAAACTAAACTAAAGTAAATGGAAATAATAAAAGGAAAAATAAATAATAATGAAGTACATTATCTACCACAAGAGATAATAGTAAAAAACAAAACAAATAATAAATGTTTAAGATAAAATATTCAGGCCGAAGATGAGCTTTTCACTATCAGGGGAATCCGACAAAAGAAGCGGCCTCACCTTCACCAAGTGCCTTTGATTCTGGCTCTAAGAAAATAAGCCTTTTTGCAGAAATTTAGCAACACAGTCCAATCCTTGCCATTAATATATTCTAGCAGAATCTCACTAGACAGTTTTCCTACCAAAATAGTGTTTCGTGACAGCGGTCAGTGCAGGGGAAGTTGCCAAGAAATGGTACAAATCCTCCCTCTCTGTACCACTACAAAGTTCACAGTTAATATCCTGTTGCTTGAAGGAGCAACTGTTGCAGTAATCACTGGTCATAATGGTTATTGCATATAATCGCACACAAGAATCTAACATAAAAATTCTACATATTGTATTAGTTATTTTATTAATTTTAATCCAATACCCGAGGTTCTTGACAAAATCTAAGGTTGAAAAATCAACTAAACGGTGCTAAACAAAATATTAAATTTGAAAATTTCTTTTGAAGCCAATATGCATACGAATCATATTCCATACAGAGGGAAGGTACAATGTTACAAATACATTTCGGTTCTCAAGTTTTATCAGTGCGGTGGGGCTTTAAATGTAATTTTAAGAGAATAAATACAATTTATTGAATTCCACTTAAATTGAGACATAAAGTATTGCCCTGTCAAAGCAGTTCCTTATAGCGTAATTACGGTGTAGAATAAAATGTACAAAACAGTAAATGAACATCTATATTTAGGAATTTTTATGTGATGCATTTCTGATTTTGATATTTCCATTTTCATTCCTGTTTACCTGAAACGAAGAAAAGATTGATTTTTATTTATAACCAACTATGTAATATTTACTCACCAAAATATATTTTTTACTAGAAATTTCAAATGTGTGGTTGCTAATACTAACGACCTGACGAAATGACCCAAAGGAAAGACTCCTAAAAGAAAAGAACAAAATAGAGGGACAAGTACATAAAAAGGCATTGTATTCCTTGGTGCTTTACCGCGAGAATCGGAGTCCTTCCCGTAATCTATTCTAGTCCTAGGCTAAGTCCGGGCGCCGGAAAAGGAGGGCGCTAACTGCCCTCCCTACGAGCTCAATCAGGACACAATTCTATGAGAAAGGACCAGGCGGCCCAGCCGGTCGGTGACCTTGGATGAGAAGGAAGGACCCCTAAAAGAAGAAAAAAAATTAAGAGACTAGTACTTAAAAACGCATTGTATTCCTTGGTGTCTTACCGTGAGAACCGGAGTCCTTCCAGTAGTCTATTCTACTTCTAGGCTATGTCCGGGTGCCGGAAAAGGAGGGCGCTAACTGCCCTCCCCATGAGCTCAATCAGGACACAATTCTATGAGAAAGGACCAGGCCGACCCAGCCGGTCGGTGACCCTGGATGAGAAGGAAGGACTCCTAAAAGAAAAAAAAAATTAAGAGACCAGTACTTAAAAACGCATTGTATTCCTTGGTGTCTTACCGTGAAAACCGAAGTCCTTCCAGTAATCTATTCTACTTCTAGGCTATGTCCGGGCGCCGGTAAAGGAGGGCGCTAACTGCCCTCCCTATGAGCTCAATCAGGACACAATTCTATGAGAAAGGACCAGGCGGACCCAGCCGGTCGGTGACCCTGGATGAGAAGGACGGACTCCTATAAGAAGAAAAAAATTAGCGGACAAGAACTTGAAAACGCATTGTATTCCTTATTTTATAGACCACAGTTCAGTAAGAAATGATCAGTTGTAGGTAAATGTTAAAAAATAGGTAAATATGTAATTAAACATTCCTTTGTTTAAGTTAAAAGCATAATAACTCACCGGCTTTCGTCACCTTCCAATAGCAGGGCGGGCAACCTGGATAAGAAGGGCGAACGATTAAAAAAGAATTTAATTGGTTTATATAGGAAATTTAATTGATTCCTTTCTTACCGTATAAACGGTGTCCATCCCGTTCTAAATCGCCTCATTTGTTTGGTATGTGCTACAACTTCTCTCTTCAAGCTTTTGAAATTTTATGACGATTAAATAAAATTCTTGGCTTAATATCACCTTGGATACAAGCATTTTGTTTCTTTTGCATTTGTTTTTTGTTCATTGTTTTAAACGTATTTTTAAACTAATTTGTTATATTGGTTTGGTTTTTGTGGGATTAGTTATGATAATATATATCAATTCATTTTTCTTTTCGTAAATTTTTATTTGTATGTTAGATATATGTACAATTTGATCACGCATACAAAATTAATTGATTTTATTTATATCATATGGTCGAGAGAAAAGTAAAGCATTCACTGTTTTTTTTTATTTAATCCAAAATATTTGATTCGGTTGGAAAAACATTTTACAATTAAGTTATATTGCCGAATTCTAAATATCAAAACTTCTATGAAAGTAAACAGTCAAAAGAGAATTAAATGTATTATGTTAAGTATTTTGTAAAGGGGTGAGAGTGTTGTAAGTTGCTGATATGCTTTTCGCATATCTTCTGCTATATTATCCCGACCTTTAATATAGCACAGCTCACGCAAATGGTATTTCCTTAGTCATTTGCATTCTTGAAAGCCATACGATTCAGAAAAAAATTGGAAAGGTCGAATTGCGGTTTGATGTAATTGTTATATTGTGCAGTTGAAAATGTTTTTATTAAATTATATTTTTGTAGGAACAATATTGCACTGTTATTTGCGAGTGGAATTGTGTTAATTTCTTATAACCACGTCAGGAAATGACTCGTTTGACCTCAACGGGGTAAATATCATGACAAGGGTGGTGTAGTAAACACACTGGCCTTTCCGGACGAGGGGACAATTTTAAACTAGTTTCGTTCCAAGTCGGTTTAACCCTTGTCGTATTTCCCGGACTGAAAGTAGGTCAGTCGTATCCTCCAGGAAACCCATTTCTCGTAATATTATATCTTTTTATTATCGTTCATTCTAAAAACAAACATCGCCATATAAGTTTATCCGTTTTCAACCTTCTTCCGAGCCACAGAAGTTCAGACGGGATCAATAATGGACTCAAATTAAAAGATTAGTTGAAAAGCCTGGCGCAGACATTTAGGCTTATCTTGCTTTTTAATCACTGTTTGGAGAACTTTGTGTAGACCTTACCTTTTATTAAGTCCTGAAAGCACTAATTAGTATTACAAAGAGGGTTTTGGTGTGTAAATACATCTTCTAGTCCATTTGGTGGTGGTAAAATATTCAGATTTCTTTTCTTTCATATTATAATCTCATAGCCATGGTTTTTCATGTTTGATCATTTGTGTCGAAAATCTCTGTCAGGTTCTTGATGCATTCCAACGATTTTTAATAAAATGGATTCATTCCAAATTCAGGACTCGTTCAAGCAATACTGTCTATTATCATTTTTTTAATCTAGGTTTTGATTTTGTTTATAAGCAACCCGTTGCTTCTTGTGAACTTTTTCTTGACAGTACCTTTCCGACAAGCATTTATTCTATCTAAGATTGCTTCTACTTAATAAGAGAAGTTTCATGACGAATGGAAATGTTTGGTCCATCTGTTTCTACATGTATAATTTGTGTTAATTAGTTTAAACGTAGATTTATACTAAATTTTATCAGCTTCTATTTAAATATATAAATACTCAATTAATTATAGACAATTTTTTCGAAATGAAAAATCTGTGTCACAGGCGGGATTCGAACCCACGACTTTCGGCTCAATACGCCGCAGCTCTACCACTTGAGCTACCGTGACTTCGATAGCCCATGCCACAAACTTCAACAACGCGATTTGCTTACAATTAGAATAAAATCGGGTAGTCGGGAATAGTTCTATATGAACAAACTTCTCATCTTGACCGATCGAGCAGCCTTTCTCTGCATAACGGGTTCCTGCGCGGGCCCAAGAACAGGTGCTCCTGTGTCAACCGCGTATGGCCTATTCTTAATCGCGTAAGGACGAGTCCTTGTTTTAAATTTTTTTAAATTTTTAAATTGTCATTGTAAAATAATATAACATATTTTAAAATATTACATAAATAATATTAGAAAATAATTACATAAAAATATGTTGAAAATTAAGTAAAAATAAGAGTATTTGTGCACATTTAGATGAATGATATTCAGTAAATATTTTAATTATAAATAATAGAAGCTAAATGTAGAACCATATACGTATATCTACGTACATATACAGAAGTGAAAGTTAAATAATTTATATTAAAAAAAAATTATTTTTATAGAAGAGATGAAAGAAAATATATATGTATATATATGTATACATTATTATGTATATTTTAAAATATACATAACAATTCAAGATTTAACAGGTTGCACTTTTCAACTACAACCAATCTAGCTCTTGAAATCATTTGAAATCATAACCAATACCACACCCCTTCACATTGAGGTTAAGGTCAGAGCACTAATCAGCTGCTACAGATTAATTAGCGAGGGAAGCTGGAATCATAAGTGCAACAACACAGGTCACTCTAAAATCTCACAACTATTGAGTAAAGTTAACGGTCAATTATTAAGCGTTAGTGATAAAAAGATTTTTGGGGAAAAAGCATTTTCAGGTAGTCACCCCTTGTGATTATAATTATAGTCTGGATGATGACCATCGTTACATAGACTGCTACACAGATGGATCACTTATCAAAGCAAGAGGGAGTGGTGCAGGAATCTACATACCAAAATTAGGAATCAGCACCAACTCCCCTCTTGGCAATAAACCTCCACTTTTCAGGCGGAAATCTGGGCCATCAATGTGTGTTGTAGAACACTTATGGAAAATAAAATTAAGGGAAAAGATATTAAAATCTTTTAAGACAGTCAGGCTAGTCTTAGGGCATTATAAAAAGGTTAGATCCACGACTGGTGGAGGAAACTATAGATCTTATCAATAGGATCTCTTTCAGGTTTGAGAATAAGGTGACCCTTATTTGGATACCAGTACATAAAGAACACCATGGCAATGAAATGGAGGATGGCTTAGCCAAAGAAGGTTCTAATACTGCGTTTGTCGGGCCACAACCGGTATTACCTCACTCTGTGAGGACAGCAAAAAAGAGTATCAATAACTGGGGCATGAAACAATTCCTTAGGGAGTGGAATTTATCCCCCGGACACAGGCAATCGAAAGAGTTTGTTAAGGCGATCAAACCAGCAGAATCGAAATGGCTATTCTCCATCTCAAGGAAGGGAATTAGAAGGCTGATAGGTATTCTGACGGGCCACTGCCCACTGAGAAGACTAAATGGGTATCCTACCAGATCCCTTTTGCCGCTTCTGCGAAATAAAAGAAGAAACGGCAAGGCACTACCTCGCAGAGTGTGATAGTTATGCTAGGTCTAGATTTGAAATCTTTGAAGGAGAGGACATCACCAAATCACTCCCCGAGATAAAATGGTCCAAAATCTTGGGGTTTGTGAACAAGTCCAAGAGGTTTATACAGGACATGTGAGCCGACCAATTAATTAATAAAATTAACTTTAAACGAATCAACAATAGGACTCAGCCACCCCAGCACAAATGAATCATTAGGTTTCCGTTGTTTGCCATACATTGGTGAATTATCGGAAAAAGTTAGTAAAATTTTTAAACAAGAAGGTTTTGAATAGCTTTTAGAAGTTCACTTAAAAATATCCTGTCAAAACCTAAAGACAAAGTAGACAACTTGGCAAAAAGCGGGGATTAATCCAACTCAATTGTAATGATTGTGATATTAAATATACAGGACAAAGCGGTAGAAAAATAAAAACAAGAGTAAAAGAACCTAAATCGAGCAAATTTTCGGAATTTAAGGACCATGTAAAAGAAACAAATCATAATTTCAATTCAAATTTAAATACAATGTGTTACATAGTTTCAACAAAGGGAAAGAATTATATTGGTTTGAGAAATTTGAAATTAAAAAATGTTAAATTGAACATGGTGATAAATGCACTAATATATAACAGATTTTGATCTACTCCCATTTTAAATATGTACATAAATAATATCAAACATCCAAATAATTAATCTAATTATTTTAATTGTTATTATTTTTATAGTACTTTATAGTAATATTAAGTATTTATTATTCTAATATTTATTTGTGTTATAATTTCCGCGTGTCGCACGTTCAAATTTAGCGCCATTAAACAAATCAGCTGCTAATTGGAACGTCGCGTTGGCGGAGGTATCAGCGGGTTCACTTTGGCAATTCATGTCGAGGACGTGGTTGTGGAAGTCCTTCAACCTGATGATGAGCTAAAAGGCTCGAAATCCGGATCGTTGCAAAACAACTTACTGTGAGTAGGAACTATCTTTTTAAAAAGGACGTTGCACATTTGACCGTAGAATGAAGAAAAAGTATAATTAAAAATACTAAGTTGCGGAAAATTATTGGCTGAACGCATTATTCTGTCAATAGGAGTATTTTTATAGTTAGTACCGTTATAGTATGGTTATATAGTTATAGATTTATAGTATAGTTATATAGTGTAGTATAGTTACAATAGTCACGCTTTACATTTTAAAGATCTTAGCCTAATTCGCTTAAAAGTTTGTTAGGTAATGTCCAAATACAAGTTGTATGTGTACATACCTTGTTAATGTACTTTGTAGATACATTATTATCCTGAGACCGAAGTCTAAAGAACTGCAAAAGCCAGTGCTTATTAATAATTACTCACTAAATTC